AAGGAAGGAAGGAAGGAAGGAAGGAAGGAAGGAAGGAAGGAAGGAAGGAAGGGGAGGAGGAGGAGAATAAGAGGAGGAGGAAAAGGAGGAAGAGGAGGAAGAAACAACAGTATGGGTTAAAGATGCATTGGCTTGTTTGGTGAAAAAGTTGATGATATGAAAGAACTTCCTTATTCTCACAACACAAGTAGTATAGAAGCAAAAAAGACAGAGGATGTGGCCACTAAGGAAAGACAAGGTAAACCCAATTGTTTGAAACTGAGTCCCCCTCATTAGAAGAAAAAAATGGGTCCTCAAAATTAAGGATCTCTGGGCACCATTTTGGAATTTGCAGGAAATTTCTTTGTAACTTCCTGTTCTGCTTCTTTCCCAAATACCTTGACATAACCTGAGTTTAGCAGAGGAAGGATGGTTTGACCCTCAGGCTGCAGAGCTGGGGCTAGAAAAAATTTGGTTTTAAAATACTCACGAATAAAGACAGGTCAAGGCCAAACGGACATCCAAAGGGCTTCCTTGAACTACAAGAAAATCTCTCTTAAAAGGCCAACCACCTTACCTCCAAAGGCCTCCCTCCTTGCCTAGAAGACGAAAGAGAACTTCATGCAAAGGGGCCCACGTTTGGACATGGAGAAGGCAGATTGGTATCCCTCCCCATCCTCCAGCCTCTCAAGTCATTCTTTAGTTTGGTCCTGTGTGCCCCTCCTCTTTCATTTCTCCCCATCTCCTTCTCCTACTTGTCTTTTCTCTTTCCATCCTGCTCAGTGGAGGCTTCAGTCTTTGTTCCTCGGAAATTGCTGAGTCTCCCCTTAGTCCTCGTGGGCTCTGGGAGTCAAAGAAACAAGTACATATGGATTCCCTCCCAAACCAGAAAGTGGCAGGGAGTGCCCAGCTTTGTCTTTCTGTTTCAGACAAGAGCATGCTGTGCCGGCTTCTTTGGTCCCCAGTGTCAGGCCTGCCCTGGGAAAGGCCAGAATGTGTGCTTTGGGAATGGGATCTGTCTGGATGGAGTTAATGGGACCGGCAAATGCGAATGTGGCCCAGGCTTCAGTGGGACAGCCTGTGAGACCTGTGCCCAGGGCAAATACGGCATCCACTGTGACCAAGGTGCGCCCCCCTGGCCCAAACCAGGCAGCTACAGCAAAGAACAGAACCTCCCACACACACCCAGTCCCTTTCTCTAGGCAGCTGGAATCCCACATGGATTAGAAGACCAGCTGTGCTGATTTTCTTGCATAGGACATTTGCAGTCACTTGACCTCAACCTACCCACCAATTCTCAGTTTTGAACGCCCACCAAAGCCTGACTCTTAAGGTCTAAGAGGCTTTATGAAAAGGTCACTCTATCGATTTCCTCTCAGCAAGCTACAGGCTTTGCTTTTGCAAAAACAGTGACCTGTAGCCAGGGATATGCATGTGAGGAGGTACCAATTCCATGAGCAGAAAACAAAATTGTTGTTTTACTTGGAACTAAGCACCACAAACTTAGCTGCTCTTGTTTTCTAACCATTGGCCTATGCCAGACAAAATTAATGTGCAGTCCTGTGATTTCAATTAGGCCATATAATATATTCATATAATAATATATTAGGCCATATGATAGTATTGAAAGGAGCATGCTGGGTTGGGGGGCGAGGTGTTTTTCTGTTCTTTAGAAGCTTGTTTGCCAGCAATTTGTGCTGGAGTTCCCCTAGCCTAAGATCCCTGGATGGCCTTCAAGGGGTTCAGCAAACTTTAAAGCTGAATGAGCAAGATACCAACTCATTTCAGACTTCTCCAAGAGCCTCATGACCGTGGTATAAAACAAAGGAGTGACAATTCTATGTCATTGAAGAAGACAGGACACACCAGGTTTCTGTAAACCCAGTATCAAATGGGCTTCCATGTTAAACTGCCCTCAGGAAACATAACAATGGTCCCATCCCAAGACACCCCACATAGCCCTAGACCTCTGACTGTGACTCTATGAAAGACAAGGACTTCTTCTCACCATAACCAGGCTGGAGAACAGAGGCAATAAAGCGTCCCCAGTAAGTGATCAACAAGATGTGGAACGCAGATTGCAACCTGATCATGTGAGGTGTTTTTCCCTCTTAGTGTGTCCTTGTGTCCATGGGAGATGCAACCAAGGACCCTCGGGAGACGGCTCCTGTGATTGTGACATCGGCTGGCGAGGGGTGGCCTGTGACAGAGGTAAGAGCCAGCCCTTCGTGTTGATGACTGTGCTTAACCAGGCTTTGCAGAAGCCATATTTTTTTCTTTCTAAGTTAGAAAAATGATTGGGTTTTTTTCCCCTTCAGGCAGTTAACATAATTCCTTCCTGTAGCAAAAAAGTTTGTAAAAATAAAGAAAAGGCATAAAGAATAAAATAAAAGTAACTCACACTCCCAAGACAAGGAAAAACTATTTCTAGTAGTAATGCAAAAGACAATGATATTGCATATTAGCTGTAATTGTGGGTTTGCTTGTTTATAGCATATCGTAACAAAATGATGTTAAAAATAGAAAGAATAATATGGGAAATACAAATAAAAGTAGCAATTGAAAACCCAGGGGAGAGCCACACTTCAACAGCTAAACCATTAGAATCACATACACGCAAGGGAGAAGTCTGTGTTTTACTCATCTTTGTATCCATACTGCCTAACACAGAGCCTGGCAAGAGGGAGACCCTCTCAGTATATTTGAGCTTCCTGGCAGTCTATGTAAAAAAGGATTTATGTGGTCACATGTGTTTACATAGTTAATGTAATATATATATATATATATA